GCGCCTGGACTCAGGCATCGGTGCTGGTGGGGGCTGGCTGGCTGGGCCCAGGGCATGAACGTGGAGCTGCCGACGCACGACGCCATGGGCGGCATCAGCGGCGCAGCCCTGTTCGAGGTGGACGAGGTCGGCGCGCCTGGCGCTGCGGGCCAGCACCTGAGCGCCAGTTCCGGGGGGCGTCGCTGCCAGCCGAGGCGATGCGCCTCGACGGTGCCTTCCCGCCTCGTAGTGCTGGGCCCGCTCGATTGCTGCATCTCTGCGCGCAGGGCCCTGCGCGCTGCGGCGGGCCCGCGCAGGCCGGGCGCGCCGTCCTGCGCGTGGAGTGGCTGCGGCTGCGGACTGCGCGGGGGCTGGTGGATCCCTGGGCGCGGCCGAGCGCCTTCGGAGGCCGCGGCGGCGGCGGGGCTCGACAGGCCTTGGGACCCATCCCTGGCGGTGCCACGCCTGATCGCTTGGCGGCCGCGGCTGCTCGAGCCTTCCCAGGAGGTGGAGCCCGCGCCCGCGGCGTCGGCGGCCACGGCAGGCGGCGGCAGCGCAGCGAGTCGGGTAGCCGCAGTGATGGCGACGGCGAGCCGCGTTTTCGCGACGCCCCGTCCCGCGGCGGCAGCGCGAGGCTGCTGGCGGAGAGGCAGCCCGGCGCCCTCTACGACGAGGCGATGCAGAGCGTCGCTCGCGTGATGGGCCTGCGGGAGGGGGCGGACGGTACCGAGTCGCGTCCGAAAGTGGCCGGCTACTTGCAGGCGATCGTCTTCGGTCACCACCCCGTCTCGCAGCTGCGGGCCAACGCGGTGCGCGAGCTGCAGACGCGGGCAACAGCGCTGGACCTACTGGAGAGCGGATCGCTGCCGCAGGTGAGCGACGTCCCGATGCAGAGATTCAAGGCGCTGGCTGGAGCTCTAACTGTCGGATTCGAGCTGGCAGGTGGCGAGCGAGCTGGGTATCGCGCCCGACGCCAGGCCGCCCCTCGCCTCGATGGGCGAGCAGGACCCGGCGCGCCGCTCGGCGGTGCTGCGGAGGCGGCTGCAAGGCGCCAAGAGCCGCGGGGCCTTCGGGGGCCCCGGCCGCGGTGGCGAGAGGGCGTGGCCCGCGGAGAGGGCGCGGGAGGGCTTGAGAGCACGCTTGCCCTCCGCGCGCGCCCCGCAGACACGGGGCAGCCTGCTCCCGGGCGGGGGGGGGTGCGCGGCTGCGGCAGGGGCCGCTTCTCCCCTCTGCGCGCGGCCCGAGCGCCCCCGCAGCGGCAGCCGAGGCCGAGGGCCCGCCCGCCGCAGCGCCCTCCGTCAGCCCCGCCCGCGCCCTTCCGCCGAGCGGGCCGCGGGCGCCCCGCGGCGACAGCCCTCGCCCAAGGCGAGTGTGGCTGGCGAGCAGCCCCGAGCGGAGAGTGTTCAGGCAGGAGCAGCCCGCGACGGCGGCGGCACGGCCTCAGGGGGCCGCGCGCGGTCGCGGTCGCCGCCGCGGGGGCAGGGGGCGCAACGCGGGCAGGATCAACGGTTCGCGCCCGCGCCCCCCTGTCGGAGGCGGCTCTGCCGAGAGGGGAGCTGCGAGATGAGGCCGATCGTCGATGGTGCCCATGTCTATGATGCGCGCACGTGCGTGGCCAGTTCTCTGCAGGCCGCCTCTTCGCGCAGACCGCCTTGGGCTTCTCCGTCGCGATCTCCGCTGCCTCGCCGCGCTCAACCTCGCCTGCCTCGCGTGCCCGCCGCTGCTAATGATGGCGCTGCTGCTGCTTGGGGCCCCCTGGCTACTGGCGCGATCTGGTAGGGGTTGCTGGAGATCTGCTCCGAGAGCCCTGTGACGTGGGCTTGATACTTCTCAACCTGTTCAGGGCCCCCCCCGGTTCGCTTGGCAGCTATGTCCGTGGCTCCCTGGATCCACAGCTGCGCGAGCACATGGCCACCAAGGGAGGTCGGCTGCAACGCGACTTGCTGCCGTTTCCGTACCCAACCGCTGTCAAGTCCGATGTCGCGCATGACGGCGAGGACCTCAGCGACGAGAGCTGGGGGGCGCTCCGCTGTGGGCTGGTCGCGACGGTGCTGGCGCTGAAATGGGAGGCGGGCTTCCGCTCGCTCAAGTTCGCTCGACGTTGCCGCGGACGTGCTAATGCAGTCCAGCGGGCCGCCTTGATCGGCCTGGCGCGGCGGCTCTTCTTGGCCGCGCGCATCGAAACCAGCCTGCCTAGGGACCTGAACTGGGCGAGCCGCCTCAAGGATCGCAAGATCGGCCACGGTGGCTCCGAGATCACGACGCCTCACAAACTCACCCTGGAACAGGTGCTGAACGGCCTGCCGCCACCTGGCGTCGCGGCCTCCATCGAGGCGGCCGATCTTGCGACGGGCTTCGTGCGCGATGCTTTGCTGGGCCCGTCGCTGGTGTTGCTGCCGCCTGCGCTCCGTCGCGCGGCGCCCACCTCCGCTCGGGCGCGGGCTTGCGAATCCGAGTCGCATCGCATTCTGGAGGCCTTGCATGCGCGCGGGATGATCGCTCCCATCGCCTTGAGCGAGAT